TTTCTCTTTACCCTTCCCCCCTTAGAAACCCATCAGCCATTGCTGGGTTCCTCGGAACCTAGGCGTTGGGTTTCTTGGAACCCAGGCCTAGGTTCGTTCGAAGAACCTAGTAGATGAGTTCGAACAAACCCAGTAGATGGGTTCGAATGAACCTAAGCTCTGGGTTCCAAGAAACCCAACGCCTGGGTTCAACCCAGGCCTCGATTCGTTCGAAGAACCCAGTAGATGGGTTTGGAATGAACCCAGGCACTGGGTTCCAAGGAACCTAGCACTGGGTTCGATGAACCCAGGCTCTAGGTTCCAAGGAACCCAGCTAGGTTCGCCTGGGTTCGTCACCTGGACTTGGGTTCGTCGAACCCAGGCGATCCGGGTCTATCGAACCCAAGCATCTGGGTCCGACGAACCCATGCGTTGGGTTTAACGAACCCATCACCTGGGTTCGACAATCCCAAGCTCTGGGTTCTTCAACAAAAAAATAAATAAATAAGTGGTGTTTTTATGGGTGTTGTTTGATGAGGATGATGATGATGATGAATATGAATTGATTGATGAAGAAAAAAAGGAAGAGGAAGGAGAAAGGGAACGAGGAACGCCTAGTTGGGTTTGAAGGAACCCATGGCGATGGGTTTGACGATCCCAGGCTTTGGGTTCAGGAAAGGAAGAGGAAGGAGAAAGAATTTTTTAAATTTTTATTGCCATGTCATTAGCTTTTGCCATGTTGTCTTCCACGTGGATTAAAATTTTGACATGTCATCGTCTTACCGTGAATTAACAGTACACGTGAAAAGATTTTTAATTGAAGGACCAAATTGGGGTAAAAATAGTAAACAGTAGGGACCAAGTCAGGGATTTTTTGAGTTAAGGGACTTAATCAAGGTCCGTACAATAGTTGAGGGACCAAAAAAAGGGTTTAACCTTAATTTTATGCCGTTTAGATTATATAAAACATTTCTCCATTATGTATTCTATGTATGTATGCCCAAAAGGAAAACAAAATTAAAGTACCATTTGTAATCTCCGAGGGAGAAGACCTCCGAGTAGAGCTTCTGCAAAT